CATTGTGAAAATGTCAATTCTACCCAAGGTGATCTACAGATACAATGCAATCCCAATCCAAATCCCAACGGCACTTTTTAATGAGATGGAGAAACAAATCACCAACGTCATATGGAAAGGGAAGAGGCCCGAATAAGTAAAATATTACTCAAGAAGAAGAAAAAAATTGGAGGCCTTACAATACCTGATTTTAGAACCCATTTTAGAACCTATTGCCATGGTAGTCAGAACAGCCTGGTACTGGTACAACAACAGATACATACACCAATGGAATAGAACTGAGAACCCAGACATAAATTCATCCACCTATGAACAGCAGATATTTGACAAAGGCCCAAAGTCCATTAACTGAGGAAGACACAAGTCTCTTTAACAAATGCTGCTAGCATAACTGGATATCTATTTGCAAAAAACTGAAACAAGACCCATACCTCACACCATGCACAAAAACTAACTCAAAATGGATCAAAGACTTAAATGTAAAATCAAAAACGATAAAGATCATGGAAGAAAAAATAGGGACAACGCTAGGAGCCCTAATACATGGCATAACACAATACGAACTGTAAGTGACAATGCACAAGCACCAGAACAGAGACTAGATAAATGGGAGTTCCTAAAAATGGAACACTTAGGCTCATCAAAAGACTTCACCAAAAGAGTCAAAAGACAACCTACAGACTGGGAAAAAAATTTTGGCTACGACAAATCCAATCAGCGCCTAATCTCTAAAATCTACAAGATACTGCAGAACCTCAACAACAAAAAGACAACTCAATTAAACAATGGGCAAAGGATATGAACAGGCACTTCAACAAAGAAGATATTCAGATGGCTAACAGATACATGAAGAAATGCTCACGATTATTAGCCATTAGAGAAATGCAGATTGAAACCACAATGAGATATCATCTCACCCCAACAAGGATAGCATTAATCCAAAAAACACAAAATAATAAATGCTGGGGAGGTTGTGGAGAGACTGGAACACTTATATACTGTTGGTGGGAATGTAAAATTGTACAACCACTTTGGAAATCGATTTCGCACTTCCTTAAAAAACTAGAAATAAAAGTACCATATGATCCAGCTATCCCGCTCCTTGGAATATATCCTAGAGAAATAAGAGCCATCACATGAATAGATATATGCACACCCGTGTTCATTGCAGCACTGTTCACAATAGCAAAAAGATGGAAACAACCTAGGTGCCCATTAACGGACGAATGGATAAACAAATTATGGTATAACCACACAGTGGAATACTACACAATGATGAAGAACAATGATGAAGCCATGAAAAATAACATGGAGGAAGCTGGAGGTCATTATGCTGAGCGAATATAGTCAGTCACAAAAGGACAAATATTGTATAAGACCACTATTATAAGAACTCAAGAAAAGGTTTAAACACAGAAAACATTATTTGATGGTTACGAGGGTGGAGAGGGAGGGTGAGGGTTATTTACTAATTAGATAGTAGAAAAGAATTATCTTAGGTGAAGGGAAGGACAGCACACACTACAGGGGAAGTCAGTACAACTGGACTAAACCAAAGCTAAGAAGTTTCCTGAATACAATCAAACACTTTGAGGAACAGAGTAGCAGGGGTAGGGATCTGGGGACCATGCTTTCAGGGAACATCTAGGTCAACTGGCATAATAAAGCTTATTAAGAAAATGTTCTGCATCTTACTTTGGTGAGTGGCGTCTGGGGTCTTAAAAGCTTGCAAGCCTAAGATGCATTAATTGGTCCCAACCACCTGGAGTAAAGGAGAATGAAGAACACCAAAGGCACAAGGAAAGTATTAGCCCAAGAGACAGAAAGGGCCACATAAACCAGAGACTTCATCAGCCTGAGACCAGAAGAACTAGATGGTGCCAGGCTACCACCAATGGACAGCCCTGACAGGGAACACAACAGAGGGTCCCTGATGGAGCAGGGGAAAGATGGGGTGCAAAACTCAGATTCTAGTAAAAAGAGCAGACTTAATGGTCTGACTGAGACTGGAGGAACCCCGGAATGCACAGCCCCTGGATTCTCTATTAGCCCAGAACTAAAACAATTTCCGAGGCCAACTCTTCAGACAGGGATTGGACTGGACTGTGGAACATAAAGTGATACTCGTAAGGAGTGTGCCTCTTAGCTCAAGTAGATACAGAGACTAAACGGGCAGCTTCTGTCCAGAAGTGAGATGGGAAGGCAGAGAGGGTTAGGAGCTGGTTGAATGGACGTGGGGAATCAGGGGTGGAAAGGAGGAGTGTGCTGTCACAGTATGGGGAGAGCAATTAGAGTCACATAACAGCATATGTATAAATTTTTGTATGGGAAAAAATAAAAAATAAGTAAATAAAAAAAAGAAAAGAAGATGAAGCGCTCAAGAAGGCTATCACTTGACACTTCTGAAAAACAGCACAAAATGTTTAGGTGGTAGTTTTAGCAACATTCCATATGCCAGAAACTCCAACACTGTTTGGATTTTGACAAACTTTTAAAATGAAAAATTTAGTACAAAAGTGTTACCTCTGATAATCTGGAGATCCATTTTGCAGAGGTTACTCAATACTCTAAGGCTTCTCTTACCTGGATAGTAAACAAAAGGAGTTAAGAATTTAAAAACTGTAAGAAGTTGACATATGTGCTTGGGACTGAAAAATATTGTAGTAAGGGTGTGTGTTACCAGCTCACTCCTGTTGATAGGATACAGAGGGGTCAGTGATCTGGCCTCATGGTCTGGGAAAAGGTAGGGAAAAAGGGAAAAATGAGAGAAGTGAAACTGGTATGTCGTTATTGTTGTGCCATCAAGTTGATTCCGACTCATAGTGACCCCATGTGACAGAGAACTGCCCCATAGGGTTTCCTAGGCTGTAATCTTTATAGGAGCAGACCACCAGATCTTTTCTCTCTTGGAACTGGTATAGGAGACTCACATTCAGGGGGCTTAAACATGGACCTAATGACTAAGACATACAGTTTTGCCACAAATTCGAAGATTCTTTGACATAGCTTTGGGAGTATTTTATTAAGCACTTGAATAATTTAAAAATTCCCATAGTTTATCAATTATTCAAACCTCCTTTCTAGAGAGCCAGTCAATGGTTTAAAAAAACAGAATTCGAGACTACATAGCATAGGTCTGCGGAACCAAGAAAATAAGAATAATAAATAATAATTGTATTTTGTATTATCATTTTCAAAGTGCTTTTCACACCTATCAACTCATTTCATCCTGGAAATAATTCTCTAAGACAGATACTATTATCCCCATTTTACAACTGAGGAAATTAAGACTCTGAGATTAAGTCATGTTCAAAGTCAGTCAGCTACTAAGAGAAAGAACCGGGACTTGAACTCATGTAGTCTGACTGCAATCATCCTGTTAGTTTCCCTAAAGCTTCCTGGCTTAGTGCAGGCATTTTCTTATTTCCCCTTGCTTTTCCTTTCTGCTACACAAAATGTTATTCACCTCTCAAGGCCTTATAGAAGTTTTGTCTTCACAATTAACGTACACCAAAGTTCTCCAGCTCAGAGTAACGTCACCTTTCCCCCCCAAAAAATGCAGTATTCATTGTAACACAGCAGGCTCCAAAGAGAGAGAAGCGCTCTCTGGAGCTGGGGCTGGTGGGTTGCTGATACTTTGGCTACAGATGCTAGTTATGGTACTCTGAGTAATAAAAAACATAATCATGATATATATCTTAAATTCTTCCTGTGGGTTTTCACTTACAAAATTGCACTTGTTCTTCACCATAATCTAGTGGGGTAGGCAGGGAAAGCATCACTATCCCTTCAGTCCATTTCAGGAAATCCTGGTGGTGTAGTGGTTAAGAGCTACAGCTGCTGACTAAAAGATCAGCAGTTTAAATCCACAAGGTGTTCCTTGGAAATCCCAGGGGGAGTTCTACTCTGTCCTATAGGGTCACTATAGGTTGGAATCCATGGCAACGGGTTTTTTTTTTGGGGGGGGGGGCGGTTCACAGGGGTTAAGGAACTTCCCAGTGGCACACAGCTAGTAAAGAGAAATATCAGGACTAGCATTCTGACTTTCACCTCTGAATAATTTTTACTAGATTGATACGATATCTTCATGATCTGAGAGGAAAGAAGAGAACGAAAGAACATTGTGACATTTTCCTTCACAATACAACTTAATAGAAAAAAAAAAAAAACCATGAAATAACCCTGTGGTGGAGTTGTTTGCATCCACATCTGGGAAGGGTTTTTTCGCATGTCTCATTCCAAAAGTCACAGTAATACAACGGTAAAAGGGTGATTTTAGGAGCCTGAGGAAACATTTGATGTTTTGTTCATTTGTTTACTTTTTGTGTTTGGAGAATTCCCTACCTTGAGGCCATTGCTCTCCAAGGTAAAAGCAAGTAATTCATTCTCCCAACCTCCCTTGCAGTTAAGGTGCAGGCATGTGAATCCTGATTGGCTGTGTGTTAGCCAATCAGACACAACAGTGCAAAGACGTGGGCTCCAACAGGCAGGGTGGAGTTTAAGCAACCAATTCTAACTTAAGCACTCAAGTGAGCTGTGCTATCTGTGCTCAGCAGAAGAGAGTAGGCAATGGTGTCTCTTGTGGAGGAGTTCTGTGCCATGAATTGGAAATTATTCCTCATGTGCAGCCTCCAAACTACCAAGTCAAAAAGAGACCCTCCCAAAGATGATATCCCAAGCTTAAATAAATTTCTTTTCTGCTTCAGCTAGTTAGAGTGGGTATCTGTTGAGATCTTGAGCAAGTTACTTATCACTCCGAGTCTGTTTCCTCATCTGTAAAACTGAAAGTACTGATACCCAGGATTGTTTTAAGGATTAACGTTAATGGGTACAAAATGCTTAAAAGGTGGTATATATTACTTGTACTGTGAAGAGCAGGGATGCCCTGGTCATGTGTCTGGACAAATGATTGAGAGAGACTGTCACTGACTGGTCTTTTCAAGCGAGCATTTCAGAGCCAAATGCAATAATGCAAAGAAAATAGCAAGGAGTCACAGTACCTTTGGATCCAGGATTGTTCCAAACACCAAGATGAAGAAACCCTGAGAAACACAGAAGAGGGAGGAAGAGCTATTTACAAAATAATAATGATAGTAGTAGTAGCAGCAGTAATAATAATAATAATAACCAGTATTCAATATCAGTTCCTATTCTGGGAAAAAGAAAACACTCTTACTAAATCTAAAACACCCGTTTTAAGGTCACAACACCTAGATTCATTCATTCAACGGATATGGATTGAGCATTTTCCATATGCCAGCCCCTGTTCAGTAAACCAGACAGACCAAGGTCTCTGCCTTCCTTCAGGAATATTTCAGGAATTTCTTTTTAAGTTGGGCAAAATGAAAGTCTTCTGCATTTAACGTGAGCTGTGCATCTTACCTGAATATAATGGTCAAAGAAAGAGTCAAAGATGTTAAGTAAAGGATGGCAGCTTCACAGTGCCTGGACAATCAGTTATGAAAGAAGCCTCCACAGGAAAGAGCGTAAGCAGCTATGCTCATCTTCCATGACACCTTCAACCTCCTTCCCCTATCTACAGCCTAAGGATGTAATAAGACTTCGAAAAAAAAATCAAATACATGCATCCCCAGAAAAATTGATACAACACAAAATAGATTGCATTTCTAAGTCAAAACAGGGCTCGGAAAGAGGGGTTCTATGAAGGTATAAAGGGAATTAATTAGTTCTCATACTCCTTATCGTCCATGCAAAGAGACCCCATTAAATTTATCAGCAGATTGTTCCTCCATAGTTATAGTTCATTGTAGTTTTCAAAGTTTTTTGTTTTTTTCACATCTGTTGGCACAAAGCCACCCTGAAAGAAGGCAGGACAGGTGTTAGCCCCATTTTACAGATAAGAAAAAGGAAGCTCAGAGATTCAACTTTCAAAATGTGATAGAAAGCAACAAATATTGTACAAAATTTCTGTTGAGTATGCAGTCACTCGGGTCTTGGCTCCCCTGAGAAGGGAGGTGGGATGATGGCCAAGTATGCTCCTTGTTAACTTGCTCCCATTTCATAAGTGGATGTGAACCGCTACCCAGCCCAGAGGCATATGACTGTAATGCAAGAGGCACCACAAATATGATACAACCAGTTGCTCATTAGGGAAAGCAATACCAAACCCACGCTGCTAAGATTTGTCAAAAGCTCAGCTAAGAGGAGGAGGTCTTTGGAGGGCCCATGCAGCTTATTCATTCCACAACACACTAAAGCACATCCCTGCATTCAGCCAGTCCAGTCAACACCCAAAAGCATGGTCTCCATGTAGCTTTTATCAGATTGCTTTTTCTGTATGGCACTAATAGCCTACGAGAAAATTATTGAGATCTGTCATCCTGTCTGTTAAGAAAATGGCATTGATAGCATGGTCTATTAGTTATGAAGTATCATTACTGTAAAGATGCTTGAGACAATTCTTTCCAGCCTACTTTTTGGTACTAGGAAATACATTCCAAATCAGAATCTCCAGGAATTCAGTCCAAGAATTAATTTTTTAAAATATCCAGAACCACAATTCTAGCATGATTCCTCCACAAATACAGGTTCCTTTGGCTAATGAAGAATTTCTCCCCTCACAAAATTTTTAATTACTGGAAATTGGACTATTTATATTTGTATTTGTAAAATTTAGGATAATGCTTGGCACAAGTATATACTCAGTAAATGTGGGCTCTGTGTTTGTGTGTGTGTATATATATGTGTGTTTAGTTATGTAATTATTCAGTCTGCATCTGTATAGCAGGAGTCCCTAGATGAGACAAACTGTTAACTCACTGGGCTGCTAACCTTGAGGTGGGTGGTTCAAGTTCACCCAGAGGAGCCTCGGAAGAAAGGGCTGGCGATCTACTTCCAAAAAATCAGCCTTTGAAAACCATGTGAAGCACAGTTCTACTCTGACACACATGGGATCGCCATGAATCAAAATCACCTTGATGGCAATTGGGTTTTGGGTTTTGTTTCTTTTTCTTTTTTTTTTTTTTCTTAAATGTGTATAGCCATGAATACTTAACAGGGAAATCTTCCACTAGGATCATTTATCATTGGTCCATGCCACGTTGGGAAAATATATGCAAAACATCAATCAGATAATTTGGATAAAAGATTAGTCATAAAGTTTAATATCTGACTGAGAAGGGATGAGACAATACACCTAGAAAAAATTCACTGGAAGCCGCGTCTTTGAAATTATTTTAGTAGATAAAGCAGGTAACTCTCAAGATGGTCTCCCAGGTTTTAAAATATGTACTTTCCTTTTTTCCCATCAAAACAGCTACAAGGGATCCCAAAACTTCACCTATCCACAATTACTCTCACTAAACACAAAACAGGGCACAAACCAGGAGTTATGGATTGAGAAAATGGGCTGTCAATGTAGTAATCGACTACATAATGCTTCCCTAGTAAAGGAGATCTTTGATCTTTCACCCAATGGGGGTACTCCCAGGGACAAATTACCCAATAAGCAAGGTACACACGGGCTTACTTGTGCTTACTTACTGATCTGTAGTGCACAATTTCACATGACGTGGGCTTAATTGTGTTTACTTACTAATCTGTAGTGCATAATTTCACATGATGTGGTGAAACCCATGTGAAATTTCACAAGGCAGATTAGTAATCAAACACAATTAAGCTCATGTCTACCTTGTTTACTGGTTAATCCACCCCTGCCAATGGAGTCAGTACCAGGAGATCTCCAACAGGCTCTGTCTCCTACATTTTCTGGGCCTGCCAAGTATGTTTCCGAGTCTCTCTTGCCTGTCTGCTCCTCAGCCTCAGCTATTTCTCGTCTCAGCTCACCTAGGACTTGCCTCTCCTGCTTCTTCCTGCTCAGTGGACTCCATGTCTCAGCTCGGCCGGTCTGTGGCTCCCCTTTTTCTCCTCCCTCACTGGGCTTCATGGGCACCTTTATTCCCTAGAGTGCTGGTAAGTGGCAGTAACTGACTCTGAGTGGCGGGGAGGGTGAGGGTAACTTATAGCATTTGTAGATCTCATTGGTTAAATACTCTCACCATGGTGCAAAAGGTTTGAACTAAAGTGCTAACCTAAAGGTTGGCAGTTCGGACCCACCCAGCAATACCACTGAAGCAGGTCTGGTAATCTGCTCCTGTTAAGATTACAGCCAAGAAAACCCTATAGAGCAGTTCTACTCTATAGTACATGGAGTTGTCATGAGTTTGAATCAACTCCACAGCAACTACAACAGCAAATGGCCAATTTAAATCTAGCAATGTGATGTCACTAAATACAGAGTTGGGAAGAGAAGCCCAGAAACGCACCATTTTCCAGTGGTTCCACCCTGCAGGCACAATAGATGCAAACAACTTCAAAAGCACGGTGAAATGTAGTGAAATAGTTAGGAAGTGCTGAGTTTTGAGTACTGCCCTTGTTTTTGCTATAATTTACTTAATTACATGTCTGTATAGTTTATTTGTAAATGATGTCTGTGTTTATAACCAGCTCACAAAGCTCCTGCAAATATAACAGTTGGCTGTCATGAGCTGGCTCCAGCACATTCCCTCCCCAGAGTCTGGCCTTTGCCCAACCCTGCCCTCAGCTTCTCACTGCTGGCACTGAGATGGCTCCATCCCGCTCCTTGACAGAAGTCAGGGCAGAAACTGAATTGAAACTACACGTTAAGCCTGTGATGACAGGTAAAGTAGCCAGGGACAAGCTGCTCATGGTATCACAATATAAGTGCTCCCAGCCTAGTCCAAAACAAAACACACATAAGATGGCCCCAAGGGATACAAGGAAAGGACAGTGCTGAACAGTGAGATGTAAACCCCTTAAGTCTTCATGAAGAGCAGGCATGGGATATGCTGAACTGAAATTTAGGAAAACAGGGTCTTTATCCCAATTCTATTCGTAACTAGCTGTGTAAACTTGCACTTAGTAATTACTAAGAGCTGTACAAATGTCCCTGAATGGCACAAGTTGTAATCAAAAGGTTGGTGGTTCAAAGCCACCCAGCAGCGCCGCTGAAGAAGGCCTGGTCATCTTCCCTAAAGATGACAGCCAAAAAAACTCTATGGAACTCAGTTTTAGTCTGCATACATGAAGACATCATGAGTCGGAATCAACTTGATGGCAACTAACGACAACATATAAATGTAAAAATAAAAACAGAGTCAAAATGTGAGCCCCTTGTTATTATTAATATTTTTCCCCATAGCATCACTGTGTTTGCTGTAAGATGATATTATATATAATTGAATTTTGAAAGAGAAAAATTAGATTCTTGACTTAAAATCTCTATTATCCATTAAGTAAAACATTTACTTGAAATAGTCATACTGGCTACTGCGTATATCCAAGAAACAAATATTTCAGAGGTCTTTAGAAAAACGAAAGCTTTCTTTTTAACTAGATGCTATTTACATATTTAGTATTCAATATAATTTACTTCAGCTCATTGGTGTACACTGTAACAGAACAAAAGAAAAAAATTTAATCAAGAAGGGAATTATTGTGTGGGAGAAATACTAAATAGGCAATAGATAAGTGGTATCTTGGGTGAAGGGTGAGACAGTACACAATACTGGGGAAACCAGCACAACTTGTAAAAGGAAAGGTCACGGAAGCTCCATAGACACATCCAAACTCCCTGAGGGGCTGAATTGCTGGGCGGAGGGCTGTGGAGACCATGGTCTCTGGGAACATCTAGCTCAATTGGCATAACACAGTTTATAAAAACAATGTTCTACGTGCTACCTTGGTGAGTAGCATCTCGGGTCTTAAAAGCCTGTGAGCAGCCATCTAAGATACTTCACTGGTCTCACCCCTTCGGGCGCAAGGGAGAAGGAAGAGAACAGGACACAAGGAAAAGATTAGTCCAAAGGACTAATGGACCACAGCTACCAAGACCTCCACCAGACTGAGTCCAGTACAGCTAGACGGTGCCCGCTACCACCACTGACTGCTCTGACCAGGATCACAACAGAGGGTTCTGGACAGAGGTGGAGAAGGATATAGAACAAAATTCTAACACACACAAAAAAAGACCAGATTTACTGGCCTAAAAGAGACTGGAGAAACCCCGAGAGTACAGCCCCCAGACATCTTTTTAGCTCAGTGGTGAAGTCACTTCTGAGGTACACCATTCAGCTGGGGATTAGACAGCCCCATAAAACGAAACAGGACTAATGAGGCACAGCAGTTCAGGGACAAGGACTAAAAGGCAGAAGGGGACAGGAAAGCTGGTGATAGGGAATCCAAGGTTGAGTAAGGACAGTGATGACGTGTAGTGGGGTTGTTAACCATTGTCATAGGGCAACATGTGTACTAACTGTTTAATGAGAAACTGTTTTGTTCTGTAAACCTTCACCTAAAGTGAGAATAGCAGCATAACTGGAAGAGCATAGTCGATGTCACTGAACTGTGCATGTAGAAATTTTTGAAATGGTGTATCTTTGGCTATGTATATTTTCACCAAAAAAAAAAAAAAAAGGTTGAGAAGGGAGAGGGTTGACATGTCGTGGGGTTGTTAACCAATGTCATAAAACAAAATGTGTACTACTGTTTAATGAGAAACTATTTGTTCTGTAAACCATCACCTGAAGTACAATAAAAAAATAAAGTGCTTTCCTGCCAAAAAAAAAAGAAGGAAATTATTGAATATGAAATATTATGCAGCCATTGAAAACAAAGAGGCATATTTATGTACAGTGACCAGGTAAGGTGTATTTCTATATGAAAAAGTAAGTTGTTTAATTCTACTCTGTCCTATAGGGTCGCTATGAGTCAGAATTGACTCAACTGCAGTGGGTTTTTTAATATATTTTTTAAATCCTTTATTATGCATAAACATATTTGTATATGCATAGAAAATTTTGCAAGGTTACACACGAAACTGTGAAGATTGCTTAATTCATAAAATCGAGATAGGAGGAGAGGAAGACCATTAATTTTTTTTTTTATTGTTGTGCTTTAAGTGAAAGTTTACAATCCAAGTTAGTATCTCATACCAAAATTTATACATACATTGTTATATGACCCTAGTTGCTCTCCCTATACTGTGACAGCACACTCCTGCTTTCCACCCTGGATTTCCTGTGTCCATTCAACCAGCTCCTGACCCTCTCTGCCTTCTCCTCTCACCTCTGGATAGGAGCTGCCCATTTAGTCTCTTGTATCTACTTGAGCTAAGAAGAACACTCTTCACAAGTACCATTTTATGTCTCATACTCCGGTCTAATCTTTGAAGAGTTGGCCTCGGGAATGGTTTTGGTTTTGGGCTAACAGAGATCCGGGGGTCATGTCTTCCGGGTTCCCTCCAGTCTCAGTCAAACCATTAAGTCTGATCTTCTCACTAGAATTTGAGTTCTGCACCCCACTTTTCTCCTGCTCCGTCAGGGACTTTCTGTTGTATTCCCTGTCAAGGCGGTCATTGGTGGTAGCCAGACACCATATAGTTCTTCTCGTCTCAGGCTGATGGAGTCTCTGGTTTATGTGTCCCTTTCTGTCTCTTGGGCTAATACTTTCCTTGTGTCTTTGGTGTTATTCATTCTTCTTTACTCCAGGTAGGTTGGGACCGATTGATGCATCTTAGATGGCCGCTTGCAAGCTTTTAAGACCCCAGACGCCACTCACCAAGTGGGATGCAGAACATTTTCTTAATAAACTTTGTTATGTCAATTTACCTAGATGTCCCCTGAAACCATGGTTCCCAGACCCCCTGCCCCTGCTACTCTGTCCCTCAAAGTGTTTGGTTGTATTCAGGAAACTTCTTAGCTTTGGTTTAGTCCAGTTGTGCTGACTTCACCTATAGTGTGGGTTGTCCTTCCCTTCACCTAAGATAATTCTTAAGACCATTAATTTTTAATATGACTATGGACACCCTAGTGGTACAGTGGTTAAGAGCTTGGCTGCTAACAAAAAAGGTTGGCAGTTCGAATCCACTAGCTGCTCTTTGGAAACCCTGTGGGGCAGTTCTACTCTGTCCTATAGGGTTGCTATGAGTCGGAATCAACCCAACAGCAATGGGTTTGGTTTTTTGGTTTATGTATCTTATAGCAACTCATAGCAACCCTGTAGGATACTGTAGAACTGCCCCATAGAGTTTTCTAAGCTATAGTCTTTATGTGAGCAGATTGCCAGGACTTTTTTCCTGCAGAGCTGCTTCATGGGTTTGAACCACTGACCTTTTGGTTAGCAACTGAGTCAGAATAGACTCAATGGCACACAACAACAGCAACAACATGACTGTGTATTGTTTGCCTGGTTAAAATAAGTTGTTTTCCAATGGTAACTACCATATCTAAGTGGAAGGAAATATAACAAACTTGCAAATCTTAATAACTCCAGATACATACCAAAATTGTTTTTAGGGGATGATATTTAATTTCTATATATAACAACTAAGCCTGCTGTTAGGCTGTTTTCTGATCTTTGCATCATTTTAGTACTTGGCGCTTTCCCATTCACCATTTTATTTCATTTTCCAAACAGCTCTATAAAGTGAGCAGTATTACACCCATTCTACAAGGGAGAAAAATATGGCTTAGAAAGGTTTAGCAAATATTCCAAGACCACGGTGGTGCGGTGGGAAACAGTTGCCATCAAGTCAATTCCAACTTATGGCAACCCCACGTGTGCAGAGTACAACTGTGCTCCACAGGGTTTTCAAGGCTGTAACCTTTTGGAAACATCACCAGGCCTTTCTTCCGAGGCACCTCTGGGTGGGTTCAAATTGCCAACCTTTCAGTTAATAGTTGAGTGCTTAACCATTTGTGCCACCCAGGGACTCCAAAGATCATAGTACACATTAGTAAATGAGAGAGTCTGGATTTCAATCTAGGCCTTTCTGGATCTAAAGCTCGTTTCCTTACTCAATATGCTATTCCAAATCCATTGTTATGTAGAAACCTAATGCCACAAGCTTACCATCAAACCTCTTCAGGAATCCTCACTATGGACTTGTTTGGGAGCACCTGGATTTACCTGGAAAGTGTTGAGCAAGGAGAAGATACTGTGGAAGACCAGGGAGCTATCATCGATGACTGTGGCTATTCCAAATCCCCAGGTCAGTCCCAGCAGTGGTGTGAGGATGGCGATGTTCTTGCTGATCCTCACAATGGCTCTCACTGTGGGGATATATGCCATTTAAACATGGCTGCACTATCGACAACTGCAGCCCCCACAGGCCTCTATGCTGCACAGCATATTAAGACTTGTCTCCAACACGTTGAGACTTGTCAGGATTTGTTTTCCCAAACCTATTGTCCCTTTACTGATTGGCTTGTTTTCCTGAATTCCTTCTCCCTTGCCCGCACCCAAAGCCCATTGTTTTGTTAATTGATTTATTGCTTGCTGTATTGACTATAAAATAAACTCCTGGGACTGAAGGCGGGGGTCGACTCCTCAGAGTGACCCTCCTGGCCCCACTTCTCTGTAAGAGTTGTGGCATGGTTACTGTCTCCGCTGCTCGCTGCGACAGATGGTGCCCCGTGTGAGAGGCTGCGACATCTCACTTCCTGGAAAATGGAACTGCCAGTGGCGGCTCTCTGGGTCTGAACAATCCCCAGTGTGACTGTGATCAGGTTCACCACCACTATGATCAGGGCTGAGACCACAAAGGCCAGGAGGGCCTTGGTCTCGTCCCAGTCGAGCCAGCACACCTCTGAACGCAAGTAGCCTTGGCCAGGTTCAGTGGCAGCAACTGTAATGACAGCAATGGCCAAAGGGCCCCCATAGCCCATGAAAAAGAGTGATGCCACCAGGACTGACTTGGGCAGCGTATGGAAAACAATCAGGACTCCACAGAGGATAAGGAGTGCCTTGGCAAGCATCCAGAAAAACACAGAAAGGTGTAAGAAATGAACAAAAAATGTTGCCCCCACACATCCATTATGGCATGTTATTGGACCAACAAAAAAGGAACCCACGATGAACCACACGTCAGTCATCAGCAGAGTGGCCGCAATGTTTACAATGCACAGCTGGCGCAAATATGAGACCTCTGTCTTTGTCACTTGACTCCAGACCAAGGCCTCAATGGACAAGCGACGGATCAAGCTGCAAATCGAAATGCCCAGGCCTATGGTATGTGACGTAAGTCAGGATCGGGCTCCCCAAAGCATGCGGTGACATAAGAATTGAGAAGGAGGTATAGAACCTGTTTGGCTCACATTTGCAAACAGCTTGCTCAGAGTTTTCTTGAATCATTTGACAGGCCTTCTGGTCCCATCTGCTCTCCAAGGAGTGCCAGCCAACACAATGTGTCCTCTTCTCCTCCGACTTGCTGATCTTTTCAAAAGTCAATGAGTTGTTTTTAAGTTCCTTGGGCAAGATGACAGACAGGACAAGCCCATTCACAGCAATGTCTTCAAAAAAGGCTGGCTTCCAAGATGGCCCCAAGGGTTGGAAATGCAATGCTGAGGACTGGGGAAGAGGAAGGCACATTCCGAAGCTCGTCTCTAGCAATGAACACCTGCCCGGTGACTTTATGGTCAGTGTCATTAACTCTCATTGAAAAAGTGAAATTCTTTTCAGTGTTGTCTCTGGATAGGGTGGTGCCCTTGATGTGAATGAAGGCATCTGATATGTCAATGGGATGTTTATTTATAGATAGCTTTCTTGCAAAGGAATTGACTGAGCATAGCAGGACACAGCTGCTGTTTTTCTCAGGGATGAAGGACCAGTTTGAGATGCTTTTGCTGTTAAGAATGTGGTTGGCAATGATGCTGTAACTCTACCAGTGAAGAACAGGCATTAGTACTGACCCACTCTCTGAACCCGCCAGCTCATTAAAGATTCACATTCATAGTGTGGCCTTCCAACTAGCAGTATAGGCGTCCCCTGTGAACTTCTGAGAGATGCAGAAGCTCAGGCCCCACCACAGATCTAATTAATCAGAATCTGCATTTTAATGAGATTCCCAGGTGACTCGCCTGCACATTGAAGTTTGAGTTAGAGGATACAGCCTCAGGGAATTACCTTGGCCTGCCCTCCCCCAAGTACGCAATGCCTTCCTATAAGACAGGCAAGTGGGCAACTTCCACTGTGCTCATTTCCATCATCAGCTCTGCTTCACACCTGGGCGAAACTAGCAACCTGCTTACTGTGATCAGAGTATCTATCATGTAATTAACATCTATTAAATCCCAATTGTGCGTAGGGCACTGTACAGGAGCATACTAAACTGGAAATTGACCCCAGAGGTTGAATCTACCTTTTACTATCCTCTGTTTTGAAGATTAAAAACAAACAAAATGGGTCCAATTCCACTTCACATTTCTGTGGCAGACATGTATGGCTGTTTTCTTTGCATTTGATTATTTTCCATTTTAGCAAACTGTTCTGACTCACAAATAAAAGTAAGAAAAGTCTTTCCCTCTGCAGGGCCTAGAATGGTTCTTATGGACTTCGAGCAGCCAGAATATACATTGGAAAAGCATACTCCAATGTCCACCACAGTACACAGTAAGTACTCTCTTTACATGTTGATTAAATGTGTTTGCCATTTCCATACACCTATTTCTTCAATTAAGATTTATTGAACATATGCTATGTTAGGCATTGGAGATAATGAGGTGAAAGACACTGTCCCAGGGCCCCAAGAAGCTCACAGAATACTCCAAGTAACCTGCATTCCTTTCCCACTGAAATGATGCTCTATCAAATATTGAAGGCCACTCATCTGCATCTTTGCCTCACTAACATCTGCCTTTAGCTCTGTTGATATGTTGTGTAAGAGCTGCACAATCATAGCAATGTTTCCTGGTAGCCAGGGAGACTGCTGAATGCCTTTAATTATACAAGACAAATCCTTTGGACATGTTTGCATTAATCTCTCTGTGATGGTCTCAGATTTTCCGGCATAGTGGGTTATTTTTATATTTTCTCCAAGTACTTGAATATAAATCCTGCTAAGAAATGTTTTAAATATAAAAGTACCTTTATTAAAATCCAGGACAGCCTTATTACACAACTGTATATGGCATAATGTTTTGCTATTTTACGTTTCCGAAGTCACATCTCCTGTGGAATAATTTGACCAACACCAAGGAATATGAACCAAAAAATGGAAGTTCCAACTTCCCAACTGCGTACTCCTTAACCCCACCCCGCCCCCAAAATAGCAAATATTATCTTCAGCATACCATTTCAAACCCTTTTTGTGTATTCATGTTGCTGTTGTCGGTTTCCATTGAGTCTATTCTGATTCATGGACCCTCCATGTGTTACAGAGTAGAACTGCTCCATAGGATTTTCTTGGCTGTAATATTAACAGAAGCAGATCACCAGGCCTATCTTCCTCAGTACCGCTGGATGGGTTTGAACAACCAACCTTTAGGTTAGCAGTTGATTGCAAACCATGTCACCTAGATTATATACTCTGTGTGTGTGTATAGATATAAATTATTGAAGTGATTTAAGCTTATTGTTACTATTCCCAAGGTGCAAAGCATGAGACATGAGCATATTTTAAAAATGGAAATTCTGAACTAGATTTGGAGGAATGAACTGGGACATCAAGAGAGAAAAATGACTGAAAATAGAATCTCCCAAAGATTTAAGATCTGAGTCCCACACTTTAGATCAGGGTGGCAAACTATGGCTCTAGGCTGGTCATCTCTTCTTTGTAAATAAAATTTTATAGGAAGACAGCCAGTTCATTCACTTACGTATTGTCTAGGGCTTTTTCTGCACTACAAAGGCAAAGTTGAGTAGTCACAACAGAGACCACATGGCCCACAAAATCCTAAAATATTTACTTACTTCATGTCACCAAAGGGTATGTGTGACTGAAGCACAAACTTTTAGATGCCCAAAGTTGAGAACGTGATTCTTGTGTAGAGAGAATAGATAGATGTGATATATTCACATAAAACACAGGAGACATGCTCCTCCGCCTCGTGTTCTTTCTCTCTCTTAGAGAGGGCAACAGGCATTGCCAATTTAGGGCTCCATTTTGCTCATTTAAATTGCCCACATTAGAATTCATGTTGTCAGAGAAAGGATATGATCTCAAAGATGTTGAAAGCATTAAGGGTTTGGCAGGTATCAGTGACCTTGTGCCATTTACTTTTCCTGCATAAAAGTCCCATGTTTCCCTGGTTGTCCGGAGGGCAGGGTTGGCTGCATTGGGAATTGTGCCTATTGCAGACACCATCACATCAGCCTGGGGAAAGAAAAAGCAACAGCATCAGATGAAGAGGTCTAAGCTCTGGGTTACACTGGGCCAGTCACCAAGGTGTCCCTGCAGTGAAGGTGCATAAATCCTGCAGATATCAGGTGTTTTTTCTTTGTAAAATGGAGGGGGATTGAAGTGGATATGTAATTGTCACACTTTTTTGGCAACAAAATCCTATTCTTTCCAACAAAATCTTATCCAGATCACGAATGTATAAAATAGATGAAAAAGGAACAGCCCCGGTTAAAGTAAGAGTGATGAGCCTACAGGTCAGTTCACTTTGTCACTCTCACACCCCACAAGACCTACTTCGATCCCTATAGCAGCCTCCAATACCTACTCAGATCCCTATAGCTCCCCCAGAACACAGTTTGAAAGCTACTGCTCCTCATGTTGTCTAAGAAGCCTTCCAGATCTAGAACTTTATAATGAGTTTATCAGAAAGGACTTCTCATAGTCCTACTCTTGCCATTGCCCCAAGTTGAGCTGACTCAATCCAAAGAATCTGTGGGAAAAACCTCAGAACTCTTGGACTGAGGTGGAGCAGAGAGTGCCAGAAGAAGAGGAGAACAGGGCTGGAGTCAAGGGTCCAATTTAATATGAAGGAAAAAACAAAAAAACAGAGGCCAAATGCAAGCCATCAAGGAGTTCCCTCAGCCTTGCCATAAGATGGAGGGCTATAGAAGATTCAGCTTAACAGATACACAGCAAAACCTCCATTTGATTAGAAACTGCTGTCAACATACCCTGTGTCCTGGCAGATACATTCTCCTTGTTTTCTCTGGCAGCCTAGAAAGGGAAAATCAAAATTCAAGTCAAAATCAATTGCTGATGTGCCGGCCCAATGGTTGACTTTAGTCACAGACTACACCCATGTCATAGTTGGCTATGATGCTGAGTTGACCACCAAAGCTGAGACCATGAAGTAAGTCACCATGGCCCCATTTCTCCTTCAGCATGTTCAGCTTTCTCTCCCACTGCTATTGAGTAGGAGGAGTCTTCCTTCCACTTGTACAAGAATGATCTACATTCTGTCCAGAAAATACGTGATGAGCAGAGGTGGATTTACTGGGAAGTTAATGAAGCTTGAGTTTCAGAATCCCTTGCCTCCTTCTAAACCCTGGGAGAGGGCCTCCCAATGTGCTCACATGATCATATGTTTTATTAAATTTTCAAATGTAAAATATTTTAGCAGCCATCTGTTAAGACCTTTATATTTTGCCACTCCTACCACCCCTCCTTTACACTTTCCCTCCTCTTGGGTAGCACTAGAAAGGCTGCAAGTATTTATAGGATCTGGACGGTCAAGTAGAAATTGAATTGGAGGCACATGTAGTTTCATTTAATAGAATATATTTATGTAGTTTGCAGTCATCCCTTCATTACAAAGAGGATATCAGCATATAAGTGGCATCAGTTCAAAGAGTATTTCCAATTAGTCGTAGCACAAGAAAATTCTAAATGTCCTGACACCCTGAAGCTCACAAATGAAAAAAACTGGTTAGAAGCTTTCCCCAATTTGATAGCAGTCTTGTATGTTTACATGGCATTACCAGTAACGAATTGCAAAGCTGAAAGATATTTTTCTAAACTAGTAATAATAAAAAACAAATTTGATCAATGATGCTAGAGGAAAAACTGGATAATCTTTCTATTCTGTCTATAGAAGAAGATATTACAGAGCCATTGTCATGTTAAGTATGCAGCCAAAAATGTAAGGGGAAAGTGTTAATAGAGGTGTGTCAGGCAATTCACTGAAAAAAATATTATGCTATTCTTCGGAATTTGTAATACTCTTTGGTATTTTTAAATGTGAAACCTATTGTGATTTCTTTTTTCATTTTAAGTATATATTCATTTTTTAACTTAATTTTGTGTTTGTAATTTTGCATCATTTTTTCTTTAAGATGATTCCCCCAAAAGCTGGCTCCCCCATATCATAAGCATTTCCATATCTCCCAGTTAAAGCCCCTTTGTCTGTTCCACAATCTTTATTATACCTGATCCTTCAGTGAGAGGCAGTGTCACATGTGGCTAAAAGCATGTAACCTGGGAACGCACCACCGATTTCAAGTCCCAATACCATCACATGAGACCTTAGGAAAGTTAATCTCTCTGAGCTCAGTTTCCCAACCCATAAAGTAGGGTAGAAACTATAATACTATAAATATATGAGTCTTACCTCAGAGAGTTTTATGAGGAATAAATGAGATAATCTATGAAAAACACTTAGAACGGGTCCTGGAATATTTGCTAAATGAGATATTTAGCTATTGTTATTATTCTCTGAACATGGACTTACTGAATGTCTATTACAAGCAAAGCTCAAGTTTGCCTGTGCTAAGAAGCATTCCTGGATCCAGTTTTGAATGACAAATCTTTTCCTCTTTGGCTGTTGTGGGATTTATTGTCCATACCACCAAAGCACTCAATCAGTACTTAGCATGCACTCACCTGACTGGCTATCTTGCTGTAACCTTTTTTATACATGTATACTGTCTTCGCAATTACATTGTAAGCTCCTTGAGGACAAGAATCGTGTATTTTGCTTCTTTGTATCCCCCAAAGTACCTAGTTCAGTATTTTGCACGTATATGTATGTGTATATGAAAAAACCAATTGTCATCAGGTCAACTCAGACTCATGGCAAACCTATGAGTAGAACTGTGCTCCATAGGGTTTTCAACACCTGCTTTTTCAGAAGTAGATCTCCAGGTCTTTCTTCTAAGGAGCCTCTGTGTTGACTTGAACCACCAACCTTTTGGTTAGCACCTGAACACATTAACCATTTGCACCACCCAGGGAGTCTTGTATGCTATTTACAAGGAGTTCTGGAAACTCCTTTCTTAAGTGAAGGACCTGATTCACTTCCTTACAACTAATCTACCAAACACACACATAGAAGGCCCTCTCTGTTCATTTCATTTCTAGGGTGACACCTGGCGTGGGCCACTTTAGCTTCAGATACCAACATTTCTTAACCTAATACTGTGAAAAAGACACTTGCAAAGCTGCAAGCTGCTAAATCTGCTCTGCTGCCTGGGTGAGTAGGCAATGTCAAGGGAGGGGTAGCATCCAGCAACTTGTATAATGGGAGGAGAAGGATGGAACCTTTCTGGTAAGATAATCCCAAATCATCAAAACAAACAAAAAAACAAACAAAACCAGCCTCTCAGTGCTTCTGCCTACTCTCCATATCCTGTCTTGTGGAAAAATGTGAATGAGGAAGTGGGATGAAGGGTGAAAAAAAAAAAAAATTGTACCAGGTGTGGGCTTGGGATGTCTCAGAGAAGAGGCCTTTCTGAAGGAGTCTCTAAAGCTTTCCCAGAAATTAGACACCAGTTGAGTGTTAGGGAAAGGAAAAGTGTCATGGAGAAGACTCCCATCCAGGGGCAAACTACTCACAGGATAAAATTAATGTCATTTGTAAAACTAAAAAGAACTTCCAAAGTCACTCTTTCCTGAGGAGGTTTTGTTAAGAAGGTATGTGTTAAAATCGAAAGAGCAAAAAACTGAGAATCTGAAGACAGTAGTTTTGAGCTTGGCCCTGTGACTAAAGAGTGTGCAACCTCAAGCAAATCACATTCCACACCATGGTCCTCAGTTTCCCCATCTATAAATAAGGGAGTGGAGATTCACTAGTTGATCTCAAAGCTCTCTTCCAGATATTACTGTCAAAAGTGATCAAATAATAATATTCTTTTCCTAAGAAGTTCAAAATATTTTTATGTTCTCTCTCTTTTTCTCTCTCTCTCAATGATCCTCCACAACTTATTTTAAATAAGTAACTAATAGGGAAATTAAAATGACACGTGGTATGAAGAAAAGTATTCCAGAGGGAGCCGTAGGACTCACTGCCAACAAAATTTACAACTATTACCTTACTACAAACTCTACACCAGTTAGACCTTGGGGTTCACTAGCAGCCTTCTCAAAGGAGATGCCATTGCCATTTTGGGTGGACCATGTTTTCTTGTGCCAGACCATTCCAAAGCCCTGCCCACTAAATGCAGTTAGTACCTCCTACTCATTATGACAACCCTTGCTACCCCACACATTTTCAAATGTGCTTAAGGAAGTAGTACCGCCCTGGTTAAGAGCAACTGAAAGCTTCTCCATCAGATGATATGGAAAGAAGAGTTTATCAACCTTAAATCATTTGAGCTTCATTGCATCTCTGGAATTGATGGGAAAATAATTTGTAGCTATTGGCTAAAATGGCTCTTTGGTTACCTGTAGTTGCAGTTTCTTCTGGTTGGCCAGACATCCCATCACCATCTTCTCCCTACACCTCAGCTCAGATACCTGAGAACTGGTTAACTGACTGATTTTATTTTCTGTTTGCCATCTCCATCAATTCATCCTCTTCCCCCTTTTCTTACCTGGCATAATGTTCTGCAGGACTCTGTGGGCAAAAGAAACACACAAACAGTACAGCCAAAGCTTGAGTCATGGTTTTCCACACAGCTGACTTTCTTGCTTCTACAGGAAAAAAAAAAAGGCAAAATGTCTCCAGCCTGAAGCTTTCATAGTTCCATGACACTCTAGACCCACCAGCCCTATGAGATAAGGCTCTGTTCTTAGTGTTGCCTGCTCAGACGTCTCTGCTTCAGGTGGGTGGGGCTCCCCTGTGTTCTCCCATAGACTTCACCAGGACACTGCAGGCATGAACATCAGCCTGCACTGTAAGCCTGCACTGTGAGGGCCAGGCAATTGCTCAGATATCCCCTACCTGCTGCTGTCTGTTACCAGGTGACACCTAACTTGGGAATCCCTTTAAAGGAAGCTGCTTGCCTGATTTCGCCCTCCTACTGTAGTGTAATAAATAACAGCCCATGTTCAGGGAGCGAGGGCGATGGTTCACTCTCCCAGTTAGGCAGGGCTGAGAAACGTGTGGGTGGCTACAATAGAAAGTGAGTTCACATGCAGTTCCTATGTCTAAACTCAGCCTAGAAATACTCTTTGAAGGGGAAAAAGTACTAAGCTTGGCTTACTATCCCTCATGCCCACCTAACTTTGCAGCTGTATTTTTATAAACAGGTAGCAATTCTTTCAAAACAGACCTTGGACATGACCTATTATTATTATTTCAGATGTGAAAACTAAACTGATTCATCAGCACCTAGAACAGTGACTGATACATGGTGAGCTCACAAGGCACTCAAGAAAGAAAAAGGAAGGAAGGAAAAAGGGAGAAAGAAGGAAAAAGCTGAGGACGTGCATCAGAGTCTATGCTCTATAGAGGACACATGTAAATCAATATTAAATTCTAACAAGTTTAATATTTTTTCATCCTGAGTGAGATCTGTTTGAAAGGTATTCGATATTCTTTGCTTTTAGATGAAAGGATTTGGAAGACTTGGATGTCACCAACAAAGACCAGCAGCTATTATGATGCTTGATATTTACTATTTGACCACTTTGAAATAGACACCTTTATCTCAGTGATGCATAATTCTATAGTGGCCAATACTATTATCTTGAAGACTAGGTAAAATTGATTTTTCAGTTCTGTCTCTCACATTGGAATACTCACCTAGTTGAAATTCCACTGAAATCTAATGATTGGAGAAAAAAAAAATCATCACTAGTCTTAGCCTGTTACTAATACACTTTCCTGAACTTCTGTAGTTCTTCAAGCAAAAGGATTACTTTGATGCTGATTACTTTAAAATGTATTTAGTAGCAACTCAGATGGGCACACAATTTCCAGTAAATTGTGGCCATGTTTGTATCCTTTATTCCAGCCTAAGTCATTCAAATGGATGAAAATTCAAACATCAAAGCCTTCAAAATGACTTACCACAATCATCACCAAAGCAGTTATTACTTTGGGTAAAATCATCAGAATTGGAAAAAATAAAACTATTTATGAATTTGTGGGTATAATTCTTGTAAAATCTGAGAACAAGTCCATGTTTTGCTGAATCACATTAGCTTTATTTTTAATTTTCATCACACAGAATGTTCTTTCTCCTAGCAAAAACTAATTAAAAAATGATCTAAAGAATGATTCAAAGCAACAAATTTTCAGTTAGCACTACTGCATCCATAAACCTAAGTAGATTTTTTTTAAAGGAAGTTGAATGCTTAGATGAGTTGTACAAATCAAGATGAAAACCATTGCTTAAAATTTTTAATGTGTTGTATTGACAAAAATATTCCTTATCTTGTCATTTTGTTTTGAATTTTAAATATAGATAGGTTTCCTTTTTATCAAAAATACTTTTTATTCATAAAATCAATGTATCTATGCATGACAAAATAAGCACTTGGTGTTTTATTTTGGGGAGACGTTCATCAGACTTGGCATTATGACCATTTTCCATTGTTATGCTGCTACCTGGAGCCTAGTACTCTGCAATGCTATCTTTCTCCAAGTTTTATTAACAGTGTGACTTTTATTTTTAATTCATTTTTAGGTTTTTCCTCAAAAAAAATTTTGATACTATCTTATAAAACTGGTTGCTTTTTGATAAAGTGGCATACTTTAATTTGGATTTAAATAAAAATATTTTTCTCCCAGATTTGTTGACATTAATCCATATTCATTAGCTCCTTTTCCAGCTCCATGAATGTAGGAAATTTAGAAGAAGCAAAAGTGTATAATGGCAAAACAGTAGGCTGAATCTAATCCTTTAGCCACTCACCTCAACCTCCAATTCCTAATTTTTTTCTGAAAAGACACAGGTCTCTAGTGGATCAGACCTCTGTCCCCTAGGTCAGCCCTAAACTTTTCTGAAATACAGGGGTAGCTGGAGTGTAACTCTTCCATCTCAAAGAAATATTTGGAAATGTTGGTCTCACGCAGCCCTAGCCAAAAAATTCACAATAGTCATTCATTCCAGAAAAAGCTTATCTGCCAAGAACACGACATGAAAAAAAGTCACCTCATGTGATTCACAGTAAAAAAAAAAAAAAGAAGCAATTACATCACTACTGAAATAAAATAAAATATGCCAAAGGCTATAAGTGTTAGAATTTTTCAAAAATAAAAATTAAAAAACTGACCCCCCATATAAAAAAGACCATTGAAGTATATGGATACATTGGCTAGATATGCAGAGATAACATTCCAACTATTGAACCTAGAATACATTTTCCCATTCTCTATTGTCTGCTTTCCAAACCTGAAGAAAGTGTTTAAGATGTTAGTCATTTATTTGTTTACTCAAGAAATTAAAATGAGCCCCCAATTTCCACGCAATTCCCTAATAGCTAGAAATTATGTAACAACAACAATGACAGCTTCCGTCATTTTACCTTCTCAGTACCTTCAGAAAGTCACAGTCTAATGCGGGTTCTGATGTGCCAACACTGAGGGGTTGGGAAACTGGATCTAGTCTTGCTCCCTGGAGACGGGCTGGCTTTAGGAGTCAAAGCTACCCCAATAGACATGGCAGGGAGTATCCCATAGTTCTGGATTCCACCAAATGATTCTCATCTTTGTTAGCTATTTAATTCTGAAATATCTCTTCCTATCTCTATGTAGAATTCATCCACCCCAAAGCCATACAGTTGACTAGCAACAAGCACAGCTCACTAATGAGAGACAAAACAGACAGAAAACACGGGAGTCACATGCTGGGACATGTTCTGTGTTATAGCCGCATCAGAAACAAGCATTTCCTTTATTTAAACAGACACACACACACATGCACGTAAGTGATAGAAACAAAATAAATTTTAAATGGTAATTTTGGGTAAAAACCCTACAACTTGAACTCTTAAATCTCGATTAGGAAAAAAAAAAAGTATTGGAATACAGTCAAGCAATCACGTACAATAGTAAACAACACTCCAGTAAGAACTTAATCAACCAACCAAAAGTATTTCAATTACCAGTTTTGTCAACTGAGAATCTGTAGGTATTACTTGCACAATTAGGTTTTATAGTGAATTGCTGAGGCTTAAGTGAGACTCCGCAAAGTACTATGGATGTTCCCAGACAGACTGTATGTACACACTTCAGATGATCTCAGGGCTAGAAGATTCCACAGAGTCTGTCGTTAACCATCCCACTGCTTTACCTCTAGTTAATGACCAATACAGCCCTCCCTGGCTGAATGTTGACATTATGGAAAGGTAGAGAAAAATAAAACAAATATTTATTGTCTGTTTACTCCGTGTTGGGCACTATGGTTACACTAGCTTTTTAAGAGCCATCAAGTAATTCTATGATTGGAATGACTTCCCCAATTTCCCAAAATTAAAGGGCTAAAGGTTGACCCTGCTCAGTCTTACAGTTAGTAAGTGGCATATGTGGTATGTGATCTGTTATTTTTTTTTTTTTTCATTATGTCATGTAACTTTTCTGGAATAAGAAACAGCTTATCTTTGTATGGGGTTTAAATTTTTCAGAGCATTTTTGTTTGTAACATTGATTTTAATGTCATAATAATTTTATAATGTAGGCAGAGAAGGTATCATTTTCCTTTTTTTACCGAAGAGGAAATTGTGGCCCAGATGTTAAGTAGCTTTCCCAAGGTCACACCCAGTTTATTGGAAGAATCAGAACTCTCTTGTTGACTCCTGACCCAGGGCTCTTTTAACTACATCATCTGTCCGTGTCCTCTCTCCTGTGCTCATTGGAAATGTGCAAGGGTTGGTCACCATCTCTAGCAAAAAAATTTTTTTTAATTTATGTCTATATACACACATATAGACATGTTGTATATGGATGTGTATGTGTGTATTTTTGTGGAGAGAGAGAAAGTTTGACTCAACTATAATCATTCATCTTTTCCTTACCTATCTCTACTCCAGAGGTTGCAAGAAATAAATAATTTCCCAGCTTTCTATGCAGTCAGAATAGACATTTTTCAGACTTTCGGCCAATAAGACAAGCCGAAACTGCCCCATTCTGCTTTCTCCTCTCCCTCTTTCTCCTACTTGGAAACCACACATGAGATCTGGAACTACAGCTGCCATCTTGTGACCCTGGCACCACAAACATGAAGAATAGGTCAAGAACATTAGAGAAGTGTTGAGCCTAACACCATCAAGTCACTGAATCAATACAAACAGTTACCTTCCTCAGGAATTCTTCAAATGAAAGTCAAATCAAACCCTCATTTTAAATACTGTTAGTCAGATAACATACCATTGGCAACCAAAAGCATTTCCAATTGATACATCATGCATTTTTTCCTTTTTTTTTATTTTTATATTTTATTGTACTTCAGGTGAAGGCTTACAGAACAAATAGTTTCTCATGAAACAGTAGCACACATGTTTTATGACATTGGTTAACAACCCCACAACATATTTACCCTCTAACTTCTCAACCCTTTTTTTTTTTTTTTGGTGAAAATACACATACCCAAAGATACACCGTTTCAAAAATTTCTACATACACGGTGACATTGACTACTCTCTTCCAATTGTGCTGTTATTCTCACTTAAGATGAAGGCTTACAAAACGTTTCCCATTTAACAGTTAGTACAAATGTT